ACAAAAGCTTCTGCCTCTTTTCATAAAAATTGTCTGTTGGAAAAAGTCCTTTTACCGTTATTAGACTCTCTTCCTACGATACACGCAATACAATCTATATAAACTTGTAACCATCTCTGGCTGCAAGAGATCTGAAATTCCGTGTAACCTGCTAGCCTGGGAAAAAAATAAAACGATAATTTAGAGTGGTGTTTCTCAACTTGGCCACTTTAAGATGAGTGGACTTCAACTCCCAGAATCCCCTGGGCAGCCATGCTGGCTAAAGAATTCTGGGAGTTGAAGTCCAGATATGTCTTAAAGCAGCCAAAATCGAGAAACACTAGTTTAGATTCTCTCCATGTTTCCCAACTTCTTGGATGAATGATCCCAACCACAGTGAGCACCACAACAAGCACAATTCCCTTGGTCTGCTGGTTTCAAGAGTAACTCTTGAAACAGCTAAAAATAAAAATGCCCAAATCTCATCAATTGTCCCTTCTATTAGTGGGTCAGCCCTATTTTATTTATTTATTTATTTATTTATTTATTTATTATTTGATTTGTCAATCGCTTACAAGATAATAGGTAAAAGTATAAACATGAGTAAGAATACAGGAAATAGGTACGAATAAATGGGGACAATAGGACAGGGATGGTAGGCACCATGGTGCACTTATGCATGCCCCTTACAGACCTCTTAGGAATGGGGTGACGTCAATAGTGGATAGTTTGAGGTTAAAGGAGTGGGGGTTAGAGGATGTAACAACAGAGTCAGGTAGTGCAATCCAGGCATTGACCACTCTGTTGCTGAAGTTTCTGCAATCAAGTTTGGAGCGGTTTGCATAGAGTTTGTATCTGTTGTGTGCTCTTGTATTGTTGTGGTTGAAGCTGAAGTAGTCACTGACTGGTAAGGACATTGTAGCACATAATTTTGGGTGCTACGCTTAAGTCTAACCGTAGGCAGCGTAGTTCAAGATTGTCCAAGCCCAAAATCTCAAACCTGGTGATATAGGGTATTCTGTTGTGAGCAGAGGAATGTAATACTCTTCTTGTGAAATATCTCTGGACTCGCTAGATTGTATTAATGTCCGATATGCAGTGCGGATTCCAGACTGATGAGCTGTATTCGAGTATTGGTCTGGCAAAAGTTTTGTATGGTCTAATTAGCAATTCTAACTAGATAGTTTAGAATTCTAACTATTCTAAACTAGTTAGCAATATTAGCAGAAGTGGAGCCCACACGACCTCGCTGTGATCTCTCCGTTATGCCGGATCAGGCTGCTGAATCAGTATACCACCTTGCCCTCTTTCCAAAATTGCTCAATGCCCAAGCAGTGGTAGAAACCAGTCTCGTCCCCAGCTGACTCAGTTTCTCAGGCAAAAATAAAACTAAATAAACACTCCTGACCAGAAACTGGAGGGGGGGGGGCAAATCTCTTTGCCCGTGGCATTATTGAGCATCTTGCTATTCATGAAATTTAGGTGTGTGCAAAAATTCCATCAGATGCCCGTAAATGAAACCTTTGCTGACATCAAGCTTATGTTTGAGAAGCAAACACAGAATCTCACTAGGCATCCTGCCTTGGCCAATACTCAATCAAGTGGAATCAAAGATAGCTGTTTTTTCCTCATTCTTGCATACTTTCTCAGCATTGGGGTTGAGGACATGAGGTCAGACAAGATCCTCCCAACAGTTTTGACCTTCAAAAGTCATAACGGCAAAGGTGCATCTCAAAGGTGCCAACTCATTCACCCTCCCTGCAACCTCCACTCATACACACATCCTGTCAGAATTAATCATTCCCTCATCCCCACATCTTGCCAGAACTGATGAAGCTTCTTGGATCAGAAGCAAAACAATTTTCTTCTTCTTCTTCTTCTTCTTCTTCTTCTTCTTCTTCTTCTTCTTCTTCCAAATTACTTCTATAGAGAAATTACTTCCTGGCAGCAACCTGTCCTCTCTTCTCTGGAATAATTTAATCTGTTTGGATATGGTTATCTCTTGCTGGCCAACGAGACTTTGGGAGTGTTGGGAATGAAGACTGATACAGCATGCTCCTTGCTGGGCCAAGGGTTAAAGAATTAAACCTGCCCACAGCTTCTCTGCCAACTCTCTGCAGGCAGTCCCAAAAATGAGCAACAGTCTGTGGACAGTGGCTGTTCCCTCTAAGCCACACATCCGGACTCTCCATCGTTCTAAAAAATGCACAGAGCCAACCCATGAACCTCCCTCCTGGACAGTAAGTTCTCAAGTCATCGGAGTGCACAACAGATTGCTTGGAATTAGAGGTTTGGAGAGTGAAGAAGCCAGGAAAAGATCAAAACACTTGAGAAGACCCCAGCGGTGAGGTAAGACTTCTCTTGACTCTCTTTTCACAGCATTGCCGCTCGATAAGAATGTATACGGGCGATTCTATTTGCCTTGCCCTTCTTACGTCTGGATAAAAGGACACAGCTGCTTTGTTTTTACTTCCATATTAGCTCCACAGGTTAGGCTGGGTTAAGGACGCTTGGGGCAAAGAGCATTCACTGAATTTCCTTAGCCCGTAGAGGGTTATTTGATCCCCAGTTTTCTGGATTTGAATTTAACAGATGAACAGATAATCAGAGTTGGAAGGGACCTTGTAGGACATCTAGTCCAACCCCCTGCCCAAGCGGGAGACCCTACACCATTTCTGACAGATGGGAGTCCAATCTCTTCTTGAAAGTCTCAAGTGATGAAGCTCCCACAACTTCCGAGGGCAACTTCTGTTCCATTGGTTGATTGTTCTCACTGTCAGAATAGTTTCTCCTTATTTCCAGGTCAAATCTCTCCTTGTTCAGTTTCCATCCATTATTCCTCATCTGGCCTTCAGGTGCTTTAGAAAATAGCTTGACCCCTTCCTTCCTGTGGCAGCCCCTCAAATATTGGAAGACTGCTAACCTGTCTCCCCTGGTCCTTCTCTTTCCTAGACTAGCCCAGTTCCTGCAACTGTTTGCTTTATGCTTTAGCCTCCAGTCCCCTAATCATCAATCACACTTCCAGCTACAATATGTTTTATAAAAACCCTTCTGCCACAAGTGAGCGGGCTGTGAATGGATGCCAACGTCCATGTTTGAATCCCAGGACCAAAGGTGGAAGAAACCAAAGAATGCAGACTTTGGAAAATTAAACCTTCCGTGGAAGGAAAATAAGAGGTTAGGAAAGACACAAGGCTTTAATCCAGCGTTATATATAATAATTAAGGGGTGGGGCAAACCAACCAGGAATAGAATGTGACCACCATAACTGCTGCACAGGTCCCCTGTTCTATGATGGTTATTGTGCTGGAATAATGCTCCTCAACCTTGGTAATTTTAAGCATGCTGGGAGTTGAAGTCCATATGTCTTAAGGCGGCTAAGAGTCTATGGAGATTCTCAGTCATCCAGGTCATGGTTGTCCCAAAGATGCTTCTTCAAGATGCAACTGGACTTTCTTGGTTTTTCTTTGAAGACATTTCGCTTCTCATCGAAGAAGCTTCTTCATTTTTCACCATTCAGTCAGAGCTGAGGAAGCTTCTTGGATGAGAAGTGAAACCACTTCAAAGAAAAACCAGAAAGTCCAGTTGCCTGTTGAAAAAGCACCTTGGGGACAAAGTGACTTATTTTTTATTTTATTTTGTATCCTGCCTTTATTTATTTTTTGCTATAAAACTCCCAGCCTCCTAGTGATTGGCCCAAAGTCCCCCAGGCGGCTTTCATGGCTAAGGCAGGACTACAATTCCCAGTCTTCTGGTTGCCTTAACCATTAGACCAAACTGCAAGCTGGCATGAGGAATTCCCGGAGTTAACACAAGTTAAAGTTGCCAACTTTGGTAAAAAAAAAACTGCTCTAAAAGAATTCTGGGAAGTGAAGCCCACACATCTTGAAGTTGCCAAGGTTTTGAGAAGCGGTATTCTAAATACTGAACTTGGATTACAATAGTTGTGGTGTAGCACATTGCTCCTCCTTCCTACCCTGGACCACATTCTCAGTGTGATGGCCTGGTGTATCCAACAAGTAAAGATAATGACTGAAAGAAAGGATCGGATGATGGGATGTCCCACAAGCAACCCAACCCCATGTTAGGTTAGCCTGTCGTGTATGAACTCAGTATCATTTAATTGGTCTCAGAAAGTTCGTATGAGATAATAAGCTTTTAGGTGTAAAAGTAGCTCTGCCTTTGAGATTATTCCAAGAGCAGTAAATCTCTTGGAGATTTAACAATATAAAATGGTTTTTAATTAAATTTTGGGTTCAAGCAAGGCCCAAAAGAAATAGTTATTTCCTGGAGCACTCTTGTTCTGAAAGTGCAACAGGTTGCAAAGCAAGACAGCTTCCTTTGAAGGGCCAGATAGATGCTCCAGAGATGAATTATTATTTCAAGCATGGAAAAGTTAAAATGCATAACACACACTCCAGCCTTACCTCTCAATTAAAAGTATGTTGATCTGCCACCATCTTGTGGCTCACTATTGCACTGCAAGACTTGTATTAACCGTGTTTAATTCTTCCACAAAATCTCTATCAAGACGACGTTTTGGAACTTGGGAAGCCTCTCAGGTTTTGATGCAGATATTTAAGGAGTATTCCACTTTAGAGCTAAACATTTCTAGTGCCCTAACAACCCTGTGGGCTGCGCTGAGAGATTGACCCATCCAGGTTTGATGTCTAAGGTGGGACTAGAACTCGCGGTCTCCTGATGATTGGCCCAAAATCACCCAGCTGGCTTTCATGGCTAAGGTGAGACTACAATTCACCGTCTCCTGGTGATTGGCCCGAAGTCACCCAGTTGGCTTTCGTGCCTAAGGTGGGACTAGAACTCAGAGTTTGCTGCTTTCGAGCCTAACAAAATATACAATCTTGTTTTATAGTAGGATCCTGAGGTAGAGTGTCCACAGCTTAAAATGGTTGGTTAAACAGCCAATAGGTTCATTTTTGCACCATCAACTTGGTTGTGAAGTGATATGTCCATCGTCTACCATTTCCTACCTATTTCCTTCCCACAGATTCTTTTCTACCAAAATGGCTGCCAATACCACCTCTCTGGAAAGCCTGTATGAAGATTACGAGGACTATCTTGACTTAGAGGAGAATGCAGGCCTCCGCAACTTGATGCATATACTCTCCATGGTGATCTACAGCATCGCCTTCTTGTTAGGGGTGGCTGGGAACAGCCTGGTCATTTTTATCACGGGTTTCCACATGAAGAGGACCGTGAATGCTGTCTGGTTCCTCAACTTGGCCATTGCTGACCTGGTCTTTACTTCCTTCCTCCCGTTGAGCGTGGCTTACATAGCCCTGGGCTTCCATTGGCCCTTTGGGAAGCTGCTGTGTAAACTCATCAGCACAGTGGCCTTCCTCAACATGTTTGCCAGCGTCTTCCTCCTCACCGTCATCAGCATGGACCGCTGTGTCTCTGTCACATGTCCCGTCTGGGCCCAGAACCATCGGACACCTCGACTGGCTTCTCTGGTGGCCCTGGGTATTTGGATAGCTGCCTTGGCCCTCAGTTGTCCCTATTTTGTCTTCCGGGATCTGAGAAGTTCTCCTGTGGAGGAGAACACCACTCACTGTTACAACAACTTTGCCTTATCGGAAAGTTTCCAGTCAGAGGAGATGGTTAAACTGGGAGAATACCGTGCTCAAGCTTTGGTGTTGACCCGTTTTGTGGCTGGGTTCTTGGTGCCGTTTGTTATCATTCTTTGTTGTTACGGCATTATCACGGTCAGGCTGAAGGGGACTCGGCTCACCCGCTCGAATAGGCCCTTCAAGATCATGGTGGCCGTGGTCATGGCCTTCTTCATCTGCTGGTTCCCTTATCATGTCTTTTCCTTCATGGAGGTGTCAGCTGCCAGGCTGACCCCCGGACTACAGGCCTTTCTGGTGGTGGGAATACCCTTGGCTTCCAGCCTGGCTTATCTCAACAGCTGCCTGAACCCTTTCCTGTATGTCTTTGTGGGGCAGGACTTCCGGGAGAAGCTACGGACGTCCATTTTGGCTGCTCTTGAGAGCGCCTTCAGTGAGACCACAGGGCAGACCTTAACCAAGAGCAAATCCAGCGTGGAGGTAGAGTGTCACACCCTTTGAAAAAGAACCGGGGGGGGGGGGGGGAGGGATTTCAAGCTTGTGGGATCTCTCTGTCTCAGAGGTGGTATTCAGCAGGTTCTGACCAGTTCTGGAGAACCAGTAGCGGAAATTTTGATCAGTTCAGAGAACCGGCAAAGTGCGAGGGTCCCTGTGGTCCTGAACTATGTACCCAGAGGTGGTATTCAGCAGGTTCTGACCAGTTCTGGAGAACCGGTAGCAGAAATTTTGACTAGTTTGGAGAACCGGCAAATACCACCTCTGACTGGCCCCACCCCCATCTATTCTCCACCTCCCATTGAGTCCCAGCTGATTGGCTGGGTCTTCTTTGGTTGCCCTGCACAGGAGAACAGAGCTGGAAAGCAGGTTAGTGGGGTGGGGAGGGAAGGGGGATTTTACAGTATCCTTCCCCTGCCATGCCCACCAAGCCACGCCCACAGAACCGGTAGTAAAAAAAAGTTTGAATCCCACCACTGTTCTGTCTCTCTTGTTGATCTTTGGGATCCACTAATCAAAGAAAACTGTAGGATAATGGTTTAGGATTGTGGTGTGTTTGCAAAATGAAAGAGTTGGAAACATCTTCTTCTGAATCTTGGAAGGCAGTTGTTTCTGATATGAGCACCAGTTCTAGATATGTATAGATAACAGTCATTGACACATGCAGGGTGTATACATACAACACACAACATTTATATTTATTTCTGCCTATACAGGTAGTCTCGACTTACAACAGTTCATTTAGTGACTGCTCAAAGTTATAATCTCACTGCAAAATATGACCCGTTTTGCACACTTACGACCCTTGTAGCATGCCCATGATCACATGGTTGACATTCAGATGCTGGACAACTGACTCACATTTATGATGGTTGCAGTGTCCTAGGGTCACGTGATCCTCTTTTGCGAACTTCTGACCAGCAAAATCACTTAACAACCGTGTTACTACTTTAAGAACAGCAGCAATCCACTTAGCAAGCGTGGCAAGAAATGTCGTAAGATGAGGCAATGCTCACATAACAAATTTCTCACTTAGCAACATTAATTTGGGGCTCCGTTGTGGCCATAAGTTGAGGACTACCTGTACAAATAAACAACCACGCTTGTATCCATTTTAAAAGATAGATTTGTACTATCAGACACCGATTGATGATAAGCCATCAAGCTGATGTCAATTCCTCGCAACCACGTAGATAGACCTTCTTTGTGATGATCTTTCCCCATCCTGGTCCTTCAGATCTTCTAACAGTGCACACCCACCACCACGGAGTCCATCTTCCTCGCTGTTGGTCATCTTCTCTTCTTGCCTTCCACGTTGCTCAACATCATGGACTTCTCAAAGGAATTAGCTCTTTCCATGATGGCTGTAAAACACAATATGTGCGGTAATTAAAAAACTTTATGGACATCTATTAGAATTTAAATTGGAGGAGGAACAAACGGTGATTGCTTGGGGGGAAAATTTTGGATATGGGATTGATTTAATAAAATGGCAAAAATTGTGGTCTCAAAATTATAAAATGACAATGTCAACTGCATATAAAGAAAATTTGTATAAGATGTTTTACAGGTGGCACCTACCCTCGACAAACTTGCGAGAATGTTTAAGAATAAATTGGATAAATGCTGGAAATGTCATCAGATACCTGGTTCATATTACCATATGTGGTGGACATGTTCAGACGCGAAGAAATATTGGACTAAAATCCACACATGGTTGGAAAAAATGATAAAACAACATATAGACTTTAAACCAGAGATCTTTTTATTGGGAGTCATACCGGACATATACAATAAAGAATTGAAATATTTGATTGTAAATGTTTTAACAGCGGCTAGACTTGTATTTGCGAAGAACTGGAAAAATGACAAAATACCTATGCAGGAGAAAGTTGTTAAAAAAATTATGGACTGTGCTGAAATGAGTAAACTGACATTTGAAATTAAAGAATAAGAAGACAAGCAATTTTATATGATATGGGATTTGTTTTATCAATGGTTGGATAAAAAGACGTGGTAAGGTAACAGAATAGATAATTTTGTTATAGAAGTTTAATAGACTGATACAAAATATAATGTAGACATATATAACCATTGGATGGCAGTATAATATAATACTGATGGAATAAATAGCGGGATAATTAATAATTGATAAATAGATAAGCATATGTTAGTTTGACAATGTGAGACTGATATAAATTGTGAACAATAATTATAAAAGGATCGCACAAAAATTTCTAAACCAACTGACACACTGTATGTACAAAATGGAAGATAGTTTTATGTGTTTTTTTATTTTATGTATTGTCTGTGTATGTTTGTCTTAAAATAAAAATGTTTTATAAAAAAATAAAAATAAAACACAATATGTGCATAGGTTTCTCATGGGGACAATTAAACGTTCTGGAATCCATTGTCCTAAGGACATTCTGCTACTAGCCCACACAATAAAGGTCATTTCTATATATATATATAGGCTTTCTCAGTTATTCAACATGCACCAGCAGTAATGTCTCTGGTTCCTCTGCCTTTTCAAAAATGAGCTTGAACATCTGGTCGCTTCCATTCCATGTAGAGTTTTAATCTGCATTAGATGAGCTCAAGCATTATTGTACTAGCATGTGAAACGAAGGACATTGAAATAATTTGCAGACTCGGTGAAGTCTCCCATCTTTGGTATCGAAATGTTTTCCAGTTTGTTGGTCACTGAGTCATGATGATCCAAAACTGTTGCATAGTTTTATTAGATTTTTCTATTTTTTACAGTTTCAGTATATGTCTTGCATCTTTATCTTCTTTGAATCAGTTACTATACGTTCATTGGTCTCCTTTGACATACCAATTTGAGGTTGGAACGTCCTTCTGGGTTTGGAAACATTTGGAAGACTTCCCTTGGTTTTCAATGTCTCTTTCTATTTTTGATGTCTTTAATCCTGCTGCTAATTTAACAGCTAGGCCAGATTTAGTCTGGTTTCTTCTGTTTCTTGGTCTTTGATAATCTGTTTTTGCATTCATCCCTAACAACTGGAAACGATTTATTTTGCCCCAAAATTCCTGTAATTCCCTGTCAATGGCTTCAGGATTTCGAAGTAATTTCTGATGGTCTTCTTGAAAATGTATAATATATATTAGCAATAGCACTTTGGCCTACATTTTAGACTTCTGCAGCACTCTCTGAGGTGGTTTTACAGAATCAGCACATTGCCCTCAACAATCTGGGTCTTCAGTTTAACAATCTCAAAAGGATAGAAGGCTGAATCAACCTTGAATCAGGATCAAATTCCAGGCTGTGGGCAGAGTTAGCCTGCAATACTGCATTCTAACCACTGCGGCACCAGGGCTCTTGGTCAAAATGATATTTGAGATGTTCAAAAATCATATTGTAGAAAATGTTCTGCTTTGGTTTGATCTGGAATTTTCAGTTAAACAATTTTTCATCTATTCCATAGTTCATCTAGACCAACCCCTCTGGGTGTATCATAATTCATATTCTCCAGCTAAACATGTTCATAGCCAGGAGTCATCAATCATGTTCTCCAATTAGGAATTTGCACGGCAGAAATTCCGGTAGCTTAGTTATAACCTTTGCAAGATAAGAATGGAATGCACTTTCAGTTTTAAACTGCTGCATTGCTCTTTCAAATTTCTCCCTCCCCCTTCTGTTCATGGCAACTCTAAAACAGGCATAGAAATGTTTTATGAGTTGACATTAGCCCCTGATCATATCCTGGCTGTTATAATTGTGTTTCATCTCCTTATAGTAGTAATAAAGTGAGCTTGACTTCTGTGGGCTTTGTCTGATGATGTCCATGTAGATAGGTGACTTTGTGGGTGAAACTATGCTGGTTTATGATTGCAATAAAGATTTGGTTTGATTTGATTTTGTTGTGTGAAAAATGTGTTAACAGTGAAGATTATGGCATCCAGTTTTGGTCATCATGTTACAAAAAAGATGTTGAGATTTTGGGAAAATGCAAAGAAGAGCAACTAAGACGACTAATGGCCTGGAGACAAAAACATATGAAGAATGATTGCAGGAATTGGGTATGGCTAGTCTAAAGAAAAGAAGGACCAGGGGGTAACATGACAGCAGGATTCCAGTATTTGAGGGGCTGCCACATAGAAGAGGGGGTCAAATTATTCTCCAAGTCACCAGAAGGCAAGACAAGAAATAATGATTGGAAATTAATCAAGGAGAGAAGCAACCTGGAATTAAGGAGTAACTTCTTAACAGTGAGGACAATTAATCAGTGGAACAGCTTTGCCTTCAGAAATTGTGGGCACTCCATCATGGAAGGATTTTAAGAAGAGTCTAGATTCTAGACTATCACTTATCTGAAATGGTATAGGTTCTCCTGTTTGAGCAGGGGGCTGGACTAGAAGACCTCTAGGGTCCCTTCCAGATCTATTCTGATTGAAATCATTGGAATGGCATGCACAGAAGTCATTCGACTTCATTTCTGTTTCTTAGGACATATAATCCAATTAATGTTTTCCTCCTTACTTTTACCAAAATTGGCATTCCAATTTCTAATGTCAAGCAGCATATCTTGCTTGAAGGTTCATTCAGCATCAGAGTGAACTTAAACATAAAACTCATATATACAAATTTAAAAAGGAAGATAAAAACTAACACATATTAATACAGTGGTAGTTCAGTACTCATTGTTAATTGGTTCTGGGAGGCATGATATGTACCAAAAAGGGCAACTATCAAATTTTCCCATGAAGGATAATGTAACGAGTCATAAGGCAATTGACACAGACAGGTTCTAGCTTGTGTGTTGAGTACCAAACAAATGATGAATATTGGGACCAAATCTTCATGTCAAAATGTGTTGAGTACCAAATTCAATGAATTTCAAAGCAGTTGAGTTCCAAGGTGCCATTAAGGTAAAAGAAGAAAAGAAAAAGAAATAAGAAAGAAAGTTAGTAGTAATTTGTTTACCAAGATAGGGGAAAAAAGTAAAAAAGAAAAAAGAAAACATACTGATATTGAAATTACC